GCCCCCACTAAACACGGCAAACCTCTCCTGCCACCTACGCAAGAGTCACATGACAGAGGATGGAGAGAGTTTATGGACGAGAAGCAAAGCTCTACCCACCACATCACCTCTGAAGCAGCTTCACTGGCTCCAGGTCAAATCTCACATTAATTATACATTTAAAGCTATTCATTGTCTCTCCCCACCATCTCTGGTTCAGATCACCATCCCACTCCAGCGCCCCCGATCATCCTCTTCTTTCTTTTTCTCTTCCTTCCTCTCGTCTTGTTTCTATGGGGGGCTTTTAGCCGCTCTGCCCCCAACTTTGGAATTAAAAAACCTCAGAAACATCAACACCTCATTCCCTCTTTTTAAGTCCAACCTCAAAACCCACCTGTTTAAAACTGCCTGTTTTATTTGCTGTGCAGCGTCCTTGAAAGGTGCTTTTAAATAAGCATCCTGAATGTTCATTGTGTTCATCTGTGTTTCCAGTGGGAACTGAACTGTTCAGTGCTCCCTCACTGCTGCTGGTTCGGGTCATTGTGCAAATGTCCTGTTTATAAGGTTGGAAACCTGCAGTCGGCTGAGACTGAAGGATGATATTGAAATGTTTCTAACAAGTAACAGTTGTAGTGATGTGCACCAGCAAAATGTCACCAGCAGATGAACTGCACGTAAAAGTGCTGCAGCACGATCACAGGAGAAACACTCGCAGCTTCTTTGTGGGCGTGGCTGCTGAGCTCTGTGCAGGTTGTTGGATTTATGCACGAGGAATTATTTGCTCAGATTACATTTCTTCTTTTTCTTCTTATGATATAAAGATCATTCCATATTCAAAGTGCAGCTCATTGAAACTGGACCAGCTGCAGTTACCATGGTGACAGGTAAACACACCTCTGTGACCCTGCAAACATACCTCACGTCCTCTTTGTCCTCAGGTTTTGGTGCCCTCCTCCATGGAAGCATGTCTGCCATGGTTCCCATTAAGGATGCTGCAGAGGAGAAAACAGGAGTGAGTCTCAGTCTTTCTACATCAGACACACAAACCAGGTGATCATGTGACTCTTTCCTCTCAGCTGTGGTTTAGTCTGAGTAGTGGGAACACTGGAACAGCCTTTACTAGTGATGAAAACGACCACATACATGAACTCCATAGATTTGGCTTCCTACAGTTAAACGACTATGACTGAGTGATATTTAAAATGCAAACCAAGCATTCCCTAAATCAGCACCTGGTCACCTGTCAGTACAGGCCAATCACAGCTCTCCATGAGCCGCTCAGCTGTGAGTTCAACACTAGGTTAAGGACATGTATCCAGTGTTATTTGGATGTACTCTGCACCCACACATTTATACTGTAGTTATCTTATTGTGCTCAGTGTTATGTAGTCCAAAGGTTTTATTCATATCCATCATGTAGATAAAACTACCACACTTAGCTTCTATATTTGGCTTGTAAGAGATCCTGGTGAGTAAACACCATGCTGTTTAAAATCTTTGCAAAATAAAATACAAACTCTACATCTAGCACAGTGGTCTCCAACCTTTTCTGCGCCACGGACCGGTTCATGCCCGACAATATTTTCACGGACCGGCCTTTAAGGTGTCGCGGATAAATACAACAAAATAAAACTAGTACCAAAAAAAGAAGATTTATTCATAACAC